CGGGGGCTGCTGCTGTCGCGGGGAGTGGAGCGCGGCCCGGAGATTCTGGCTGGGTCGGGTCGCAGGTGTCACCGCAGCTCTGGCCATGAGGACCCTGTGGATGGTGCTGTGCGCGTTGGCACGACTGTGGCCTGGGGCCCTGGCTGGCTGCGCAGAGGCCGGGCGCTGCTGCCCTGGTCGGGACCCAGCCTGCTTCGCCCGCGGCTGGAGGCTGGACAGGGTCTACGGAACGTGCTTCTGCGATCAAGCCTGCCGTCTCACCGGGGACTGCTGCTTCGACTACGACCGGGCGTGTCCAGGTGGGTGGCTGGGCCCGGGGTGGGGTGGGGCCGCCAACCGTGCTACCCCAGACAGGGGGAAGAGGGCAGGGCGCGGGGCCGCTAGAAGCCGGAGTCTTCTGGTTGCTTCTAGTCCAGTCCGGTCTTAGCCTCCCAATCCCTAGGTTTCCCAGTCCTCTTCATCTGACATCTCCGAAGCACCCTTCTTGAATATTTGTGGGTCACCTCTGGACATGAATTTTGTGATCAAGAACTCGAGCTGCATAGTCACCTGGGGCCTAGAAGGAAGGCGCTGACAGCTTTCAGGGGTGTGTCTTTGGGCCAGTCTTCCCTACAGTTACTCTGTCACGTTCATATATCACGTTGGGGGAAGGAAAACCGTGATGTGGGCAGGAAGGTGTGACTAGTGCACTTTGGGCTAAGCTTGCCCTTGCGGGTGAGGTGGAGCATAAAGTTCTCAGAGGTCTGCCGTTGTGTTTCGCGGTGGGCTCCAACAGGGATCACAGTTGCTTCCTGTGAGGAGGTTTTCTAGTGCTCTCTAGAACTGTCCTTAGGATTTTCCCGCCTCGGGCCTCTACCGTGTTTTCATCCGGACTGGAGGCCTTTCCTCATTTAAATTTTCCTTAGCATCTCGGTTCTTTATCCGTTTGTAGGGTTCCATCTACAATGCCGCTTTAATTGAATTTTAAGGTAAAGGAAGAAATGGGGAGAGTAGTCCTGAAAACCAAACTGAAAGCAACTGTGCTTGCTGCTAATCACATCAGTACAAAGACGCACATTGGTAGGGTGGGACTCAGTCTCCACTCAGGTCCTCTGCATCGCCTGGGGAGAGGACCCACAGGGTCCAGCAAGGACAAGGTCGCTCTTGCCTCTTCGCTCAGAGCCTGTAAGCCCCTAGGCAGGCCCGGCACCCAGGCCTGATACTGGAAGAGCAAGCCGAAAAACTGGGCGATTTACCTTACCGACTGGCTAAGAACTAATTACTCACCTGTGAATAGGGATGCTCTTTTTAATTTTTTTTCCTGTTCCAGGACATCTTGCCTCAGACTAAAGGAAGCTGGAAAAGTCAATTACTCAGGAAGTGTAGTGACTCTGAGTCATGTGTCCCCACCCCTGACAGCACCCTAAACTGTGCGCCTCAGCTACTTGAGAACCTCAGGAACACCTCCTAATCAGGATTTGGTTCTGAAACCACTCTTCATTATAGAATTCCTGTAGCCTAGGGATGTGTTACCTCTATATTAACTATGGAGTTCCTGTAGCCTAGGGATGTGTTACCTCTATATTAACTATGGAGTTCCTGTAGCCTAGGGATGTGTTACCTCTATATTAACTATGGAGTCCTGTAGCCTAGGGATGTGTTACCTCTATATTAATTATGGAGTTTCTGCAGCCTAGGGATGTGTTACCTCTATATTAACTATGGAGTCCTGTAGCCTAGGGATGTGTTACCTCTATATTAACTATGGAGTTCCTGTAGCCTAGGGATGTGTTACCTCTATATTAACTATGGAGTCCTGTAGCCTAGGGATGTGGGAATCACAAAGATGGACCAACACTGAAGGTGCAATCTCTGCTCCCTAGGAAGTCACCCAGAAGCATACAAGCAGGCACAGGCAACAGTAGAGCAAGTGCCCTCTTCTCTTCAGGGACACTTTCCACCACAGCCAGGGTTGCCTGACACTGTGATTTGTTTCTTTTTCCTCTGTGTCCTTCCATACAGCGCTGGGTTCACCTGCCCCTTTCACGCTCTGAGTGCTAGCCCTTCTTTCGTATTTTCATTTTGCCCTTCATGGCTCTGTTTAAGTGACCTAAAGCTCCATAACATTACCGCAGTGGGTCTGCTTGCTGCAAGGGTCACCGCATGGCTGGTGGGCAGGCAGGGCGCACAGCATTAGCAGGGTGGAGGAAGCCATGAGTCATGTTCTGAAGAAGCCCAGCAGCAGAGCCGTGTGAGAGGCTCCTCACATTGTTTGGACCTGCGTACAAGTGATGCTTATTGTCTCTGGGATTTTCCATTTAATTCTTTCTGAGATCCTAGACAGTGAAACTAGGTGAGGGGAGGGGACTATTTCTAAAACAGGTAATCTGGAAGAAACACTAGAAGATATGTAGGAAGCCTCATGTCTCTGTTCAGCTGCCTGCCCCCTGCCAGGCCCTGAAGTTAACAGAGTAAACGTGGCAGATTGTGGACACAGCCGGATATAGGGATCAGGCTCTCCAGAGGGATGGGGAGTAGAGGGGAGGATAGTGAGAGGAAATTCTTTCTTTACTTGGAACTTGCTGTGTAAACGAGGCTGGCCTCAAGTTCACAGAGATCTGCCTGCCTCTGCCTACAGAGTGCTGGGTTAAAGGTGTGTACCACCATGCCTGGCTGCGATTGGTTTCTAGGAGACATGGCAGCATCAGGCTGAAGCACACCCCAAAATGAAATACCCTTGTTTTGGCCTGGGATGTAGAAATAGTAAAATCAATGATTTTGAACTGGGTATTTATTGGATAAACTCAGGAGAGTAAGTGAATTTATCATCTTGTGAGGAACTCTGAAGCAAGTCACAGAAATTGCATGCTTGGTGGAGGAACTAAAGCCAGAACAGGGGGTGATGTGTGGCAGAATTTAAAAGCCTATCTGCGAGTCCTGACTGCACTTTCCCAGGTCAACGGAGTGCTTGTAGGCTAACGAGAAGCTGACTTGAGACCAGTAAGGCCGCTCGCTGGTGCATGCTCTAGTCTGAAGTTTCCCATGAAGAGAAGGAAGTAGAGGCCACTGGAAGTTGGTCACTTGGTGAGACCGAGCCTGCTTCTGCACTACAGCTAAGGATAAGAGCCAAGGTCAGGGTGGAGCTGAGAAACCCAGCCTTCTCAGCCCTGGGCAAGGCTAGGTCAGGGCTGCTGCGGGCCTGCCTCCACTGGCCGGAGTGAACGCTGCAGCTAGCTAGAACTGCCTGTGAGCGCGACTCTGGCCAAATGCCTCTATTCTTACAGAATTTCCCCACCAAATAGTTATTCTTTGTTTGTGATTGCCACGAATCTGAAATAACTGTAATGCCATGATTATGTCCTTAGACTTGAAAAATCCCAGGTTTAGTCTTTACCCTGCCATCCACTGGTCTTATGGTTTTGGAGTATGCATACCAGTCTCTTGGGGCTCAGCGTATCTCATGTGTAAAAGGAAAATGACAAGACCAAAACAGGAGCTGCCAAGTGGTTACTAGAAGGTAATACCTAGAAAGCCCAGAACTTGGTACCTGGCAAGCTCTTAGGGAGCAAGTGTCCCATCATCAGCCCTTGGCCACGGTGGGCACTGCTGCATATCTCAATTAATTAAACATTTACACAATAATTTCAGGAGTACATAGTCTAGTTATTTCTGTTTGTTATTATTAAGTCACAGACATGGTGGTTAACACTTAAACCCCAGCACTCAGGAGGCTGAAACAGGAGGATCAGAAGCCCAAAGCCTGCTCTGTCTGTCTATGGAGTAAATCTGAGCTTCATGCGAGTAAATTAGTTCAAAATCACATTCTTGGGGTGGGACTTGATGGCAGAGCCCTGCCCAGTGTGAGTAGGTCTTGAGTTTGATCACCAGCACCACAATTTATCTTTCTCTTTTGCAAAAATCTACCCAGACCCTGGGGAGAGAAGGCACCCAAAATAAAGTATATGTGTTAATGTTTATCTTACATACATCTGCTGAAGATCAGAGAAATTCTGAAAGCTGAAATTCATACAGCTCAAGGATGCTGGGAAAGGTATGGCTGCCCTGTGTTACCATTTTACAAACGCTAAAGCTGAGGAATGCAAGGGCTCCCATCACCCACATTCACACAAATGAGGGTAGAGCGGAGGCTGGAAACACAGGGCTTTCTGACCTCAGATTGCGACCAGCACCTTTTGAGTGGAATTTGAAGTGACCACATACACATTCCTGAATCCTACAAGTTCTACTAGTCTAGAGTCCCAGGTTGCTCAACACTCAGAAGCATCTAACCTTTCATAGTCTCCTCGCCCAAGGTTTGCCCTAGCCTTGCTTTGAAGCCCTTTGATCTGACAGTATGTCTGACGTCATAAAAAGTGTAACCGTGTCTGTATGAGTCAGCACGCTGAGTTCTCCATCCTAGCAACACATCTGGGGAAAGTGTCACAAAGAGATGGGATACTGGCATTTTTTTTTTTTTTTGGCATTTTTTTTTTTAAAATATAGGTTGAAAGGTTTTGTTTTTCAAAGTTGAAAGGTTTCTTTTTCTTCTCAAGTAACAATAAAACTTATTTTTACCCCAAAGATCCTTAGATAAAAGAAATATCTTTATTGGACAGATAAAATAAAAATATTATTTCACCTATAGAATAACTTGAGTTGCCAAAGGAAATTATGCTGAAATTAGTTATTTCAAAAGACAGCATTTTGGTGATGGCATGGGTTTAACACCAGTAATATATCATAAGTCTCCTACAAAGAAACAACTCAACAACCACCACCAAGGAAACAAACTCTGCACTTTCTCTGCTAGGTGGTGGTGGTAAACACCTTTGATCCCAACACTTGGGAGGCAGAGGCAGGCAGATCTCTAGGTAGAGGCCAGTCTGGTCTACAGAGAAAGTTCCAGGACAGACAGGGCTATCCAGAGAAACCCTGCCCCCCAAAAAACAAACAAATCACCACCAAGAAAAACAAAAACAAAAACAAAACAACCACCACCAAGAAAACAAACTCCATTGGGTGTATCTAAAATAGCAGGAGAAGGGACAGATCCAGATCTAAGCCACTCTGCCCAGAATGACTTAGTAGAAGTCTTGCTTGCCCGGTGCCTCTCCCAAGTCACTAACTCAGGTTCCTATGGACTTTGTGCTAAGACCACAGAAACAGTGGGCTGTATCGGATCCTTCACAGCAACCAGGGAAAAGGTAGAACTATGCTTTGCAATTATTGCCTCACGGGACGGGGCAAAAACTGAGTAGTCCCCGTGTCTTCTGAATCTCCAGGAAGTTCAGGGAACAAACTGCCCAAAATCCAACAGGAA